TGCATATATTCAGTGCTATCATGAAATGAGGCATATGCCATTGAAAAATAACCGATTAACGAATTTCTACTACACGAATTATTTCGTAAATATTAAATACTGTCTGTATTCATTGGATTTGGAAGAGTGCCTGAATGAACATGAAGGTCGACAGCTTTCCAATTAATTTTTATCGAATTTACCCACTACTTCACGAAATCACTTGATTTAACAAACGCAATTACAAACCATCTAGGTGATTTTTCTATGCAGCTACTCATGGAGATTTCAGGAATGGAATTATCTATAGGGTGTTCTAACTCAAACGTAGATCATCCTGTATATCCAATTTGGCCGTGTCTAGAACCAGGCTAACGTGTTTTTTTTTTTCAGAAACGTTCCACGCGAAATGTGCCATTAAGGTATAGTGACGTCAAGGTTTCGCGTGGATTTTTTCCTCTTGATGATTTATCCAACCTAATTTGAAGTGGAGCATCAAGATTTTTGCGTGGATTATGTCCTTGTTATTAATCCACCTTCATTTCGCGTGGAGAACCATGCTTTTGTTCCATCCATTGTAAGTTATGTGCTTAAGATGGGTAAGAGCGTCGCTATCTATCAATAATAAAAGGTCATGCCACGTCAGTTTCATATAATAATTCATACCACATATTTCATAACCTATAATTTATATATGCTATAAGGCTATGAAATAAATGAAGTAATGGAGCTCAGGTGTATAGGTAAAAGATTGGGAAGTTACTAGGAACTTCAAGAGTTCATTAAAAAGTATGAAGCCAGTGCGGGATAAAAATAATTGAAAAATTCCAGCCGAACCACCGGGAAACTTTCAAATCTCAAGGAAAGTAGGGATTTAGTCAGATACTGTCGTGTGTTTCTTCCTGTTTCTTGGTTTATTGCACTTTAATGGGATGGGACCGATGGGTGATACTCTAATCATTTAAATTTACAATATCTACTATCATTCTCACATTCAGAGATGCGTTCGAAAACGTACTTTTTCAAAGTATATTATCATTTCAAGAAGAATATACTGTGACTCTGTGGAGTTTACTCATTCGCGTTCGAAATTTGTTAGGATGTGTATATTCTACTCAGTGGCTGTCATCAAAAAATACTGAAGATTTTGACGTGAAGTTAACGCTGGTAACTCCATAAAAAAAGTGGGTAAATTTTACTCCACTGATTAGACACAATCATTTTGGGGCGAAAAACGATGAAGGAGTTTGTTTTGTTTGTTTCAAGTTAGGTGAGACTAGAGTCACTGGATGGCATTAGTTATCTCTAGGTTAGACCTCTGAGTATATACCTGTTCGAAACGCAGTTTATGATAGTTTTTATATCTTCAAAGAATTCAAACTAAGGTAAGTACTTTTCTCAACATCATTGAAGATACAAATATGTGACTAGAAAGACTGAGTAGCATTATCCCAACAAATGATTTGAACATTGATGAGTGGTATTTCACTATATTTATTTGCATCTGGAATATGAAGATTGACTTCTTTGATTTATCATTCCGTGAATAACCTAAACTCGCATCTTGACGAACATAACCCACGTATATGTTCATGTCAATCTCATATGTCAATCAGGCAATCCAACGACCTGTCAAATAATTTCAAATTTCAAACATAGATCATAAATCACTTGCTCTTGAATAGTTCTTTTCCCGAATTACCCTATTATCCTGGTAGTTTTATGTGTCAGGTGTTTGAACTATTATTGACAGTACTGCAATATGCGGAGTTCATATTTCAAGAAGTTATTGCAGGAAAACCCAGAGATTGGTCAGAGGTACACATGCATATTTATTGTTATTTCGTTTATTCTTTTCAACTAACCAGTAACTTTTTATCCCTGAAACAATCATAAAACCATAATTTGTTTGTAGATATCTGATGAAGCTGAATTGATCAAGGATTGGAAGCCCTTCACATCCGAAACTGCTGAATGATTAGACACCTGATAATTATACTCTCCCACTATACCAACCCACAGTTTCTACACTCATGAGCAGATAAAAGCCTGCAAAACCCTTGTTGCTCAAGTATTTGCCAGCTGAAATGTCACGTGGTTTGGATTGCCTATTAAACTAACCCGAAATTCCGTTCGAAGACTACATGAAATAGTATAATTAACACAAAGTAAACTGATGAAACCTTCAAATAACCTTACTCTACGCTGAGAGTCAATAATCGAACGCACCCCAGAATGTATACAGGGTGCATGATTGGCTGAGCATTTTTCATGTGCGATTCATGTTTGTACCTAACCCTGGCAGTACCTTGACGCCCTACAAGGGGTTGAAATACCATTTCAAACTCTTCCTAGACCCGTACAAGTTTCGACTTTTGGGGAGTGGGTTCCCAACTTTGAAGTAGCGATATACAAACAAATATACTCCCGAATATAGATATTCGTGGAGATCACGAAAATTCAATGATATACAGACTGTTGAATTTGAAAAAATTTTCGCGGTCGTCTCAAATGTGGATCTCCCTGTATATTCAATTTATTTCTATAAATGTGGGTAATTGAAAATTAAACCTGTTTCAGGAGATTCCTCTGAAGTTAATAGTTTGGCTAACAATGAATTTATTCCAACACCTACCTCCTCTCCCTATCCTCCCGCATGATGTTCCGCGAACATTATAGGAATATTCTGTCTGGCGCCCCAAGAGATGAAATAAAAACTCTACGAAAGCACTGTATAGAAAACCATAGAAATAATGTTGATTATTCTACTCATTTCAAACTATACGTTTCATATCTATGTTGATAATCGAAAAAATGATGTTCTCGATTTTGTATTTCGGCAGTTGATTGGATACCTATATTCTGTATTTTCGGTTTTGTATTTCGCTTTCTCTGCAGCAACCATTTAACTACCGAGAGAAGTCCAGCCTAGTGCATTGGTATAATGGGCCGATGATTTTCCTACGATAAGTATCCATCAGTTAAAAATACGATGATGGTCTTGTGACGGTGAGATGTCTGAAAATAGTTGAACACAAACGAGTTGTGGCCCTTTGCTGGCCAATATCCTGATGTTCACTACTCGTTCTCCTGGTAGTTGTTCTTGGAACATTCACATCAACAATCATTCGGATCATTATTATATGTGACTCTAGTAGTACCGTATGGTCCGTTTTTCTCTGGTTTGTTGTTGAATAATTGTGTTTCTCACTCTCCCTGGTTGTTATTCATGATGGCAGGAATAATCTCAATTGATAATATGGAAAATGAATCCTTCAATCATGATAATTTTAATTAACCATCAATCTACCTATCTAGTGTTTCGAATTTCATCATGGAATGCATATGTTTGGTATCTCTATAACCTCATACACCTAATGATCATAATAATTTGAGTAGCTCTACCTGTCCAAAATAGCACAACTTTCATGTTTAACTCGTTCGTTGCTATTGAAAGTACCCTTGTTATGTTAAGTTATGCTAACATGTCTCTTATATAGAACTGAATAACAATGAGGTTTTGAATACAACACCGATAATTGGTCATCATTCATGTATATGCTGGGGTTGCTATGGAAAACGATTATGTTGTACATGTCCTTTCGCCAGGGAACTGAATATGATTGCATGGGTACCCAGTACTGGGACCAGCTGCTGGCCGCATTGTACTGATATTATACAGAGTCCCGCATATGCGATCATTTACTGGGTCGCGTCTAACTCTGACAAAAATGTGAATGTTAGATTCTCTTGAAATAAACTGAGGATATTAAAAACAAGTTTTGAGACCTCATTTTGACTGACCATGTAGATTAGATTAGATTTAGAATGGGGCCTTCGGACTATCTGCCTCCACAACGCGACCTTTTCAGATCTATCGTGTCTGCTCTCAAAATTAATTAGAGTTCTTCGGCTAGCCCCGCCCTTCCTATGAGACTCCATAGGCTAGCTTTCAGATCCCCTGTGTATTTTTGAACTTCTGGTTTTTCCTTACCCAGCGTAAGGAACCTTGGTCTTGACAAGCCCTCACAGTGTCAAAGTATGTGTACTGCTGTTTCCTCTTCTTCCTGACAGAACCTGCACAGCAGTTCTTCAGTCAGACCTATCGTACTCATGTGTTTGTTGAGCCTACAATGCCCTGTGAGAAGTCCAACTAGTATTCTAGTTGAACTTTGTTCCTGGCTCAGTAGATATTTGTGAATGTTGGCGATGGTTATTTAATAAACTCTCTTGCCTGTCTCATTCCTGGCGAGTTGTTCCACCATTCTTGAGATATGGTTTGCATCCATGATTTGATACTAGTCTTTTGTATAGCTTTCGCAATACCACAGAAGGGTTCTGGGCCATTCAAAGCTTTGTTTGCTCCTGCTCGGGCAAGTGAGTCTGCCTCTACATTGCCCTCGTACCCTGTATGTGCTGGTACCCATGCCAGAGTCAGTCTGTTCTGACTGCCCAGTTCATTTAGGGTTTCTATGCAGTCCCATACTAGTTTCGAGTTTACTTGCATAGAGTTGACTGCTTTGATGGCCGCCTGACTATCTGAATAGATTGCAATGGTTTTGCCTTCAACTTCTTGCCTCATCAATTCTTTCACGCAATGATGTATTGCAATAATTTCTGCCTGAAACACCGTCGCGAATTTACCTAGGCTCAGTCAGATTCTTGTCTTTGGCTTGGCCGACTGACCCTGTAAATCAGAGTTGTATTCTTCTTTAATCCATTCGGTGAGTTTCGGTACTAGTTCATGATTATATCATATAATAGCCATGATAAGGGTTTGTTGAAGACTCGGTTGAAAATGCAAGACTGCAGACGTTTGATTCCAATGATACACTACCACTAATGCTTAACAAAATGTCCATGATAGATCTTCAATCATTTTCTCGTTGATATGTGTTCACACTCATAATCACCTAGTGTATAACTTGTGTATTCAACCAGTAATTAAATAGACAAAGAAATTACACGTTTAAGCAAACAATCTGATAACCTGGATGTTGGCTACCATATACCTAACGACGCACAGCTCTGTGAATTTATTTTCGTTATATCGCGACTATATTGCGAATCGTAACTACAACAATAAAAAACTCCATAATTCGAAAATAATCGATAGATTAGTGCTAGAAAGACTATGAGAGCGGATTAGTTGGTGGATTAGCCTAGAGTGTCATGAATTTTGTTTATATGGTTAGTATACACACCCACTATTGTATTTACACTATAGGGTGCATCTCTTTATACTAAGCATTAACCACGAGTTGTCTACATAGCAATCAAATGAATCTAACAAATCTATATACATACCATATTGGGAATATTCGTGGAAAGCAGTCAAATGTTGATGTAAATTTATATACTTATCAACATTCTTGTTCATTCCATGTTGTCAGTTGGTCGTGATGAAGAAAAGAAAATGTCGAAAGCTTGACAAAATACGAAGAAGTCTTACTGATTGGCACATTCAACCGCTTCCCACGAATATTCACAAGAATATATCCCATCGAACAGTCACGAAAGCTTCCCCTTGTTATCTATATATAAGAAATAAATATAAACTTTGCAATCCAATCGACACTCAAACCTCAACCCATTCAATATTTTTTTATGCGTTCATTTGCCAAAATATAAACAAAACAATAATAATGTATTCAAGGTATCTAAATGAATATTTATACTCGGTGTCAATTCCACTCCTGCGCTCCTGGTGATGTGTATTTTATCTGAATATTTATATACAACGCATTCATGAGCTTGACCTGAGAATGAACGAGTCCTGAGATTCTTGAAGTTGATAGTTTTCATCAGTTTGTTGGGGTTCAGTGCTGAAAATAGTTGAGACCAGACTGAGCTCTTCGATGAATCATACAAATATTATGATTTATCAATATTTATTAATTTGAGTTGAGTTTGAACTGCTAACTTCGCAAAAATAATCAAATCAGAACCGAATTTGTGTGCGTTATAATTTGGTTCACCCCAACCCTGCACTTTCGTATTCCTAGGGCGATTAGGAATTTCTTTCTCACAGTATTCTACTCAGAATTAACTTCTTGTTCGAATAAACAAAAATTATAAATCACAATTTCTACTACTGCGATCACAAAAACTGTAGCAAAATTTAAGACATTGGATAAGGCATTCTTTCCAAGAATTTTGATGTATGCAATCGATTCGGACTAGTCATAAATACTCCTATATCAATTTTCAGAATAATATCTCATATTTTTCAAGTCACCGTGTATAATGATTCCTATTTTTAATCAAGAAATGAATAGAAACTGAATGATATCTGTCGAAATATAACATCAAAAATTAAACGAAGAACAAAATAGCCATTATTCTTAACCAGTTCAGATTTTACTATTTTAGATTGAATCTCCTTCATTATCTACACAATATCCATATATCTTTCGTACGTCATTTTAAACTTCTCTCTATTCTTCAGATGGTATCTGTTTGCAAACTGTTAATTTTTCTCAACTATTTCTTGGCCTCAATTTGTACACCTCGCAGAAAGGAGAGTTGAAAATGACGTGCGAAAGGAGAATGAAAATATTTAATCGAAAATACAAAAATCTCAACTTGTCAGGAATAATTGATGTTTTGTTCCTTTTCTAGTGATTTTATCAGTTATTTATCTCACTCTGTAGCCAGATGATATAGACCTAATACCATCATGCCTGATATCATTCAAATTCTGAGAATTAGTATAAACGGTGACTTTTGAAAAGTGCTATTATTCAAAAATTGTAACGTTGATGAAAATGACCCCTAATTGTGTTGGCTATTGATATAGGACTATTTGTGATCAGACCGAATCGATTGCCTGCATTAACATGTTTGTAAAAAGTGACTCATCCGTTGTGTTTGATGAGTTCTTTCTCCTCGACTAAGTAGATAATTTTGAGTGATATATTATGAGAAAACAATATCTTCAGATCGCCCTGGAGATACCGAAGTACAGGGGTGGGGTGGACCTAATTGTAACACACTGTATATCAAAAAATTCAGAAATGATCTTTTTCTCTGGACTTGGTCAGGATAGTTTGGTATTCATATACTTACTATAATAACATATTATGTTACGGACGTGGGGAAACAGTGAACATTCATAGAACTGCTACTATACCATGATTTTTCTCCAAATATGCCGCATTTGTGAAATCATTTGAATTGTTACCCACCATCGCGTTTGAGGTGATGGTTCCCTATTTTATCAACATGTTGACATCAGAAATTTGTTAAGTAATCTGCAAATGGTGAAAATATTGATAAGATTGTTGTAGTGTTAGCATTTATCTTCAATGGATATTTTTATATACCTCAGTCAATATTTGGAAGACACACAGAGAAACAAACCATATTTTGTTGAATTTAGGATCTGTTCGAAAAGGTTCAACAGAAGGAAATGATACTGTATAGACTTGAAGAATATCCTATATAGGTTGAACAGTTTGTCGATAAGGAAAAAAGTAAATATACTTGTTTATTTGTTTGATATTCTTGATAAGGGGAACGAAGATACATGTATTGTAAATTTGTGGGTGTGTGACTACAGACCCAGGTAGCCAGACTGACGAATGTGACGTCTATAGGACCGCTATTTGAGGTCTTTTTTGGTCTCATACGTCTATTGACCTAATTATGACGTCATGCGGACGTCATTAATGTGACGTCTTATAGACAGCCACTGTTTGACGTCGTATAGACGTCAATCTTTGGTCTTCATATTTTTTTGGGTATTATTATCATTATCATTATCACTATCATTATCATTATTATTATTACTATTATTATTATTCTTATTATTATACTTTGAGTTCATATAATTCCAGTCACGACCCTGCGGTCTCCGACGTCACGCAGAGTCGTGCTGGATAAAATCCATTGACTACTCCTCACAGCCTGTGAGATTAATAATCACTGGGACCAAGTTATTATTATGTATGTATAGGAAAACGAATTTATGAAATAAATCAATCAATCTATCCAAATGACTGTATAAATGTATAATAAAAATGTATTTTATTCCATAGGCTTCCCTTTATTTTCAATGTTTGAATTTAGCGCCAAAGACAATTCTCACATTACCGACCAGATGGCCAATGGCGATCAAGTAATTACGTGAAGAGATTGTGTATGCGACTCGCGACCATCTCGCGACTGCTGTTAGTGGCGTTAGTGCCGTTCAGCGGTCCGGTCTGTGGTTCAGCGTCAAGCTTGCATCGTGCATGGTGCGTTCCCGTTCATGTTCATTGTCCATCGTCCATGTCCGAATGGGTGTTGTTTGTGAACGGCGTCTGTACCATTGGATTTGTCAAGAATGTTAAAATGTTGAGTGTTTGAGTGGTATTTCTATACAGTCTGTTTTTCACGTGAAAGTATTCAGGATGTATTGTGTGTGTGATGACAGTGAAAGCAACAGTGTAGCTGTTGTTCACGAAACTTGGCTGACGCCGTTGAAAAATGAAGTGTTTTGGCCGCCATTTGATTATACATAAAACATACAAAAGAGCTCTCTGTGAAGGGGCAGCCATCGACGCTGAAATTTTCAACTATATGTAATACCTTACATTACTATCTTGTTAATAAAATCTTCATTCGTAGCAAATTTATTTTATAGCACAAATGATTACATTCCTCACCAGATTATAACCATTAACCCCAAAATTTTATAAAAAAAAACAGACGTCTTATTGACGTCGGAAATTGGTCAGTAGTGTCAGTTTAAGGTCCAATTTGAAAACACATACTGACGTCTAAAAGACTTTCAAATATGACGTCATTTGGATGTGTCTTACTTACGTCATTTCCCAGTAAACATGAGACATTTATGAAATATTTCAAGATTACCTAAAATGTTAATGATCGAAACATTTTTCAGGAACATTCCAGAGATATTGCAAAATCACTGTAACATTCCTGAAATATTTCAAAACAACTATAATTGATATATTCCGAAACATTTCGAAATTACTTGTGAAGTGAATGAATGAAACATTCCAAGATAACTTTGATTGTGAATAATTGAAACATATCATTTACTACCTATTCAGGAATGTTTCAATGCGTTCGAAATATGTTTGAAACGTTTCAAGGTACCTCAAACTATTAATATTTTGAAACATTTCAAATATTCTCTCATTGCGAATTACTTCAATGTTTCAAGACAACTTGAATGGCTTGATTGAGGAATATTTCAAAATCACCTGAATTTTAAATGATTGGAACATTTCAATATTTCTCTCATTCTGAATGATGGAAACATTTTTCAGGAACATTCCAGGGATATTGCAAAATCACTGTGATATTCCTGAAATATTTCAAAACAACTGTAATTGATATATTCCAAAACATTTCGAAATTACTTGAGAAGTGAATGAATCAAACATTTCAAAATGACTTTGATAGTAAATAATTGAAACATATCATTTACTACTTATTCAGGAATGTTTCAATGCGTTCGAAATATGTATGAAACGTTTCAAGGTACCTCAAACTATTGAGATTTTGAAACATTTCAAATATACTCTCATTGCGAATTACTTCAATGTTTCAAGACAACTCGAATTGCTTGATTAAGGAACATTTCAAAATCACCTGAATTTTAAATGATAGGAACATTTCGATATGACTCTCATTCTGAATGATGGAAACATTCATCAGAAACATTCCAGGTATATTTCGATATCATTGCAACATTTCTGAAACATTTCAAGACAACTTCAATTGATATATTCCGAAACATTCCAAAATTACTTGAATGATTAATTAATGAAACGTTTCAAAATCATTTCAATTGAAACATATCATTCAATACTGATTCAGGGATGTTCCAATGCGTTAGGAATATGTTTGAAAAATTCCAAGGCTCCTCAAATTATTGACATTTTGACACATTTATTAGGAATTACCTTAGATCATACAGGAATAGATACTGAATGTACTGGTTGCATTGTTTTGTAAAGGTAGGAGGCGCTGACTACGGCGTTTTCGGGGGGGTGAGGTCATCTTTGGTACAACTGTCCAGTGCCGTGCATTCATAAAGGGGTCCAAATTTGAATGAAATAGCAATAAATCTTTTATTGTTAAATACAATCTGAAATGTCGAAATTTCACTTCTGATAGGTTTCCAAAAATTCAAAAAGTATTACCATATCATTAAAATAATCATTGATTATTTAAAT